TGGAGTGATGGATAGAATGACACATAGGAAATGGTAAAAAATAAAAATAGTGTAGAACTGGAGGAGAGGTTGTTAAAAGGTACTACAATTTACAACATACAGTACACACAGACACACACATACATACAATGACCATTCACATCAACAGGATAATGAGTACTTTCTGTTTGAATGTGAATGAGCTCCAGACTGCAAGAGTTCACTGAGCTAATAACGAGACAAAGCATGGTTGTTGAACACCAGTCTAAAGGTCACAGACGAGTATTCATCACAGTGAAGACAAAAATTAACTGCCTCTGCTACAGAGATATTGATATAAAGAAGGAAGTCAGACAGTTTGCGTTCATCCATATTCTGTTGCTTGTCATTCCACTTGTGTCGCAAGAAGTGATTTTGGAAGTCGAGGTCATTGTTGAAAAAAAAAAAAGCTTGTGAGCTGAATTTCAACTCACTTCAAACCTTGAGCTATGACAGAGGTCCTGATGGAGATGATCTGGGTGTGTGATGTGATCGTGGATGTGTCCAGTAAGCATGGTCGTTCATTCAATAAATCTTACTGTTAAACTTTGCCAAGGCTGACTTCTGTTTTGGAGTAAGAGAAGTGAAGAGATGAAATTACTTTTCAGTTTTTACCTTGTTTTTTTTATACAAACCTGTGTGTCTGTCTACATACATAGATGTGTGTTGAAAATGGACAGAATGTGAAGATGTGGCAGTTGTCATTTGCTATGTTTGACCAAGTACAGATAAACTTGCTAACTTTATAACTTCAAGTGGAATAACTTTATAAAAGGCAAGTCCTAAAATGTGTTTTGACAGTTTAAGAATAAGCTTTATTTAGTTACAAAGGTAGAACATAATTAAAAGAACGGTAAAAGGAGTATTTTGCCAGCACATGCTCTTCCTCATCTCCCATTTTCATGCAGCCACGGGTGCACAGTGGAAGCTCACTCTGATTTCTCTCAAATGGAGTAGATGCCTCTTGGATGTTCAGAATAAAAAAGATCAGAACAATGATAACACATATATATTTGTTTTGTAATCTGGAAGTATTTAGTTTCAAAATTACATAAAAAGGTCAAGTGTCCAGAATACTGTGACATCCGAGATACGGTGAGTCTAAATTACTGCTGAAAATTTAAAAATGGCACTTGCAGTGATATGGGGACCGTGAAATGGCTTACGTAGCTGAAATTGTGAGCTTTCTAACAATGTATGCATGTAGTATTTGTGTTTGGGAGAAGTGTGATACAGGCATCACTGTCCCATGGGTGGGACAGCGCTCAGTAACAGAACCAGTTGCTGTAAAGTGAAGTTTCAAAGATGGAGATCGCCTTTAGGGCCTACTTGTGAAATTAAACTGCATTGTGTTAGTTATGAGTTTTCAATTATTAATGATGTATTTAATTGGTTCTAATTGATCCCAGCAGTGTTGTGGATGATGTGAGCTCAGGGCAAACACAGCTGCAATGGTTAACCTGCTCATTATTATTTAAGTGGCTATTATGAGCTGAAAATTCAAGGTAAGGTCCCCAGAGATGAGTCGGTAATGCTTGTTGAGAGTCCAACAAATTCACAAAAATACACATATGATCATATGCTAATGTACAAAGATACACATTACACACATTGTACATAATATACACATGAAAGACAGAAACAAAGAAGAAAAGGCAGGTGTAACAGATGGTTGAGCCACATGAATGATGAGATGAATGAAACTATGGATCAATATAAAGCAATTATGGATGATAATGAATATGCTTGGCTAAATGTGGCTATAGCTGTGGGAACAGAGGCCATTCAGTTGTTATGGTGACTGTGTGGTGTTGTGTAGGGGCAATGCTTTGAACACCAGGTATGACTCCAAGTCCTCCATCTATTCTCTCCTAACTCATTATTTTAATTTAAAATATTTAAGTAATATAATGATGAAATATTCACATCTTATTTAACCATGAAACATGGGCTATTTGAACAGACACATTAAGTAATATGTATAGCTAAAGGAAAACCCATCTCTCATGCCAAACTGAAGTTCACAGTGTTTTAAGGTTCCCAGCTTTTTTTTAGTCTGCATCATCATTTCTTCCTACAGTTTCCTGAATTTCAAGCAACAGCCTTTAGAGAGAACAGGTGCAAACCTAATGCACCCATTCATTTCCTTCCCAACAACAACAATTAGTTGATTATAACCTGAACAAAGCAAGGCTTTCACAATTACAAGTTATATAAATGCCCTAACAAGGTTTTCATTTTTGCATTAAGGTCATAATGAAAGGAACTTGATTGATATAACTGGGTTGTTTATCCTCTGCATCAGGATAAAGTCCCATTAGTCTAGTGTTCAACAAAACAGCTCCATGCTCAGTCCTGAAAAACAGATGTACTGTGTTAATACATATCAATCACAGGCTATGAAAAGTGTGCAAGAGAAATGCTAATGCTAATTGTATAAAACAAGGTGATGACACACTGCTACAATAAGGAATTTCCTGCTTCAAACAAAGTGTTAACTGTGTAACAGCTGTGCACATTAGCAGGTCAAAGTTGAACCAAGCTGATCAGCAAGTCCCTCGGAGCTGCTAGATTGTGCACAAAACAAAAATCGATGCCTGCTTTTCAGTTGCACGGGTTTTAGTTGGAGTAATCTGGATTTGGCTGAACTGAACTTTAAATCATCATATTCCAACAGATTTCCCTGTGTTTATGTGAGCGGTGCAAAGAAATGATTTAGGGTGTAGTTACTCTTGAACCCTGCGTTAAGTGATTTTTGGCAGCTTTGGGGCAGCAGAAGCAAGCGGTGAACACAGCTCTGACATATCACTTTAAGTTTACATGGCTAGGTAACAGCTGCTTACGCATCCACAAAGAGCAACGTTAACAAAGTCATGTTTGTTATAATGTTATAATGAATATAAGTCTCCTTGTAGCTCTGTTTCGGTCTCCACCAACTTCTGGGGGAAATGGTGGGCTCTTTACCACCAGTTTACCACCAACTAACTGTGTCTGTTTGCTGTTTCACCTGGGAAGGTAATGTACAGAGGGTTTTAGTGTTTCTTTGCTGTCTTCTGCAGCTGGAAATGATGCTGATCTTGACTGTGAACAACAACAGTAAAGTTGCAGGCTGATAAAAACAAAACAATGGGTGTTTATTATTCCCCACACCTAGCTGAGGGGAACTGCAGGGCCATGTAACAAGTCACTACAAGCAACACCTTTCAAATGCAGGTATTCGTGTATTGTTAATAAACAAATAGTGAATATAGTTGCTTTAACTCTTGGAATGTTTTCAGTATAGTTTAATTCCTTTCGGGAATTCAGTTATCTTGAAAAGTGGGTGTCATGGCAAGTGAAGAAGTCCATATCTTGATGGACCACACTTTTCACATTACAACTGACACTTAAGCTAATCACCGGGGAGAAAAAGTAATGAACAACAACACTGTTCCACCTTTGATATTCCCACCTCCTCAAGTAGCACTCATCCTTTCAGACATCAAACTAACACTGTTTTTAGGAAAGGTCAGGGTAATTGCAAACCATAGAGACATCTTCACTGAACGTTGTGTAACAGTTCCTTGTGTGTTGTGCAGTTATATTTTAAATAAGTGATTGCACGGCTTCATTTTTGGTGTTATAATTTCCAGACGGTTTCCTATAAACCTTATGTAACTGGGGACTAATAATAGGGAGAAAAACATTATTTGTTTGGTTGTGGATTTTGAGAGGAGTTTGCTAAAAAGCAGTGTTTCGTTTAAATGGATGTAAATTTTATTCAGTTATCACTGAAAACTTTATTTTTAATAAATCTTGGTTTGTGTGCTTTTCTGCAGATAAATGTAATATTTTTGCATTTTCAGCTGACCTGCTGTGTTTTGACTAAAATACTCTCTAGATGAGCAACCGCTGTAATTGTACAAACTGAACACCGTCTCCATTTTCCATATAATTAGTTTCTAATTACATATCTCTTTTTCTAGGAAACCTCAGAGCAAATTATTAAGACATTAACAACCTGCAATTTAGCATTATCTAAAAGTGCAGTGCATGTAGCCAGCACTATAATGCCTTAATTCCTTGATTCCTTCAATACCTTCTTTCAGTTCTTTCCTTCATTGCGGGTTAATGCACACAGTAAACCACAAGACCTTGTCTAGTCTTGCAGTCTCTTCTATCCTTGCAGACATGTTACATAATGAGCTGGCACACATTGTCACTGCTTTCTGACACAAGTGAACATATTGTTGGATTCACATTGCAACAACAGACTGTATATAGACTCCCTGAAAATTTACTCTGATTTCCTTCCGTTCTTTTGTGTTTCTTTCCCTTTTCTCTCTCTCTTCTTTATTTGCCATCTCCCCGCTGTCCTTGGCAAGGCGAGGCTGTTTGGCATGGTCCCTGCTACAAGGTTCCCTTCTCTCTATCTATCACCATTACTGGCTCCGATTTTCTGCATCATGGAAGCGCTTCTCCGGAAGACCCGCCGGAATTCCACACAGAGATACACAGTCACGCACACACACGGTCTCAAACTAAATCCTGCTTGGTGTGGAATAGATGCCGGATACATCATTTTTACTTTTATTTATTCATCTCTATCTGTCCAGCTATGCACTGGCTTTCATCCCTTGGGTGAATATCAGCCTGATGAATAATTTACTGCAGTTAAAAGAGACCACCTGAGGGGGACAGAGGAGGGATAGAGGTAATTGAGGAAGGACAGATAAGAAACAAAAACGTAAGATCTCTGGATGAGAAATAAAATCCCAACATGAGAGAAACTGAGCCGAGGAGGAGAAGGAATGCATAGCCTAAACGCACATTGATGCGGAGCCGAGACACACGGCCTGTGACTATGTTTAATTAATGATGGAGAGAGCAGCCTATTAAACAAAGACACAGGCTGAAAGACTAGCCTGGGAGGGAATCAGGGGCGGGTGGCAGGAGGACGAGGTCAGGGAGCTGG